AGCTCAACAACTACAACAACTACAACACAGTGGAGTAAGTAAATACTTGTCATTCGATTCTATATCTATTCTAAGAAGCGTATTTCAGCACTTGCATGTAGTCCAACTGGTCGTGGCATTTCACTTTCTCTAAGTGACTCAACTCCAAGTTCATGGACTCAATATCAATTTACTTACACGGCGGCGACTACTTTAGCAGTTTTATTGTTTGGATTTCAGAATGAAAATAATCGTAAATATTATCTAGATACAGTATCTGTTGTTGATAACAGTGCAAGCACAACTCAATTGCTAAAGAACCCAGGCTTTGAAAGTTCAACAACAACACTAACAGATTGGGTTCAATATTGTACGAGCACGTGTGGTTCGGCCCCTGGAACCATTACTACTGGTTCAAATTGCTATTTATCAACTGGCAGTTGCTATGTCGACAACTGCTACGCTAGTACAGGTATCGATTTTCTCAGTCAAACATTTACAGCAACAGTCGGGCATACTTACACAGTTTCATTTCGTTTGGTATTAGGTGGCTCAGGTACTAGCGTTTCTAATAGATTTTATGCTGATGTGGTCTCCATATGATATGATTTATTCTGCATAACACGAAATGAAACGAACAGAAAACTTTCAACGCATGAAAAATTCTATTTTGTATGAATTATCTTATCATTGTGTTCTTGAATAAATCTTCCATAACTGATTGATAATATTTTACTCCATAATATCGCAATATGCTTTTAAATTTCAGAGACGTAATACCTATGAATTGTCTATGCTTATTAGAAAAAATATAAACATGTATCAAAAACCAAACATTCGAATTTCAAATCAACATTCGATTCAGGATAAAGTTCAAGTCTCTGACTAGTTGAGACCCTAATTGAAAACGGCAAAGACTGGTTCTCGATTCTATTGATTTCATCTTGAATAGATTGTGATGACTGGTATCTAGTTCATTAAACTTTAGTCCAGCACGTAGGATTGTATGCAAAACTTGGAGTATAAAAACATTGAAACGAGGCCAATACAAAACAAATCGAAACTTATAAGATTTTACCATCATTATCATTTGTTTTCAGATCGATCAACATGCCATTTCATATCTTACAAATGATATACTTTCAAAGAACTTCTATAAATAATATGACCAAATCCTATATTACATCAATATAACCTATCCTAGTATTATTTTGATACAGATGACTTCATTTTTGTTATCTAGATTATCATAAAAGGCTATGTAACATATGTTATCAAATATATTTTGCTCATGCCTATTTCTCTTGTGCAAAACTTTACAAAGTGAACTTTTGAAAATCAAAACATTAGATCAATTTTGAAAAGTTTGATTTCAAAGTTGAAGCCCGTTCAGTCAAATGAAAATAACATCAGATTTATCAGCATCGTATTTTTGATCATTCATCGCCACTGAATTTCATCTTGCCTACATCGATTCGATAAATTAAATACAGTCTTTATTCACATTTCTGAATTAGAGAGTATGGATGTAGGATGACATAGTTGTGCCTGACGAACCTCTCAACATCCACATCTGGCTGAATTGAATTGAATCGTTGCACATAACAACAAAATCGATTATCAACACACAAGAGCAAGAATCATGTTTAAACTACAGCAGTTATTTATTAAGCATTGAATAGGCTTCCTATTTACCTTCATTTCTTTTTTGTCTCCACAAGTTTTCGTGCTCACAATTCCAGTTCCTTATGCCAATGTATGAAGACCGACATAAGTGTAATACAATTAATTTTTCTTCTCAAGCAATCAAGAAATCGATCTCCTTTTTTATCAACACAGTTCAACGTAAAATAATATTTAATTAAGGGTAGCTACCGTTTAGAATTATTGGTGAATTAATCGCGATTTATCATAATTATCGTTAAAAATATCACAAAAAAAACGGCAATTATTCGTGTTTCAGCTCATGATTATCGTTTCGATATATCGCGATTAATCGCCAATTTTTTAGCGATTTTGAGGACATGGACAATTAAAATATGCTCTCCTTCGTAGATTGTAGAGTTTTTCACACTGAATCTTGTCGTATATTCTGTGTTTTTAATAAAATATCTTTAGATATTAGAATACATAATGCAAAGTGTGACCATTTTTATTATGAGTCGCCTGTTAAAGACGAAATCACAGCCAAAAGAAAAAAAAAAGAATTCGTCAGAAATTGAAACAAGCTAACAAGGATTTTCGAACAAAATTCAGCAAAAATTCAAAATAAACAATCATGTTCGATTTTTTTTTATTCTATAATTTCGTATGTCTATCGTGTGAATATTTCGTGTAAAAAAAAAAAAGGGAACAAAAATCATCGGTAGAACTAAAAAGTAAAATAAATTTTTTCGAAAAAAAAAAAAAAAAACTTTTCGAATACAATCTTATAAAGTCTCAAATGAGAACTTCATGCAT